GTGTGTGTGTGTGTGTGTGTGTGTGTGTGTGTGTGTGTGTGTGTGTGCGTGTGCGTGTGCGTGCGTATGTGCGTGTGCGCGTGCACGTGCAGGTGCAGGTGGGTGTGCGCGTGTGCGTGTGCGCGTGTCCGCTTGTGATGCATGTGTACGTGTGTATATCCTTGTGGCTGTATGCTTATGGCTAGTGTGTGTCAGGGAGTTGGCATGGTGTGAGGGGCTCCTGTATAGCTTGCATGTGTCGTGGCTGGCTAGCTGCGAGAACCCGGGCTGAACTTGTGCCAAGCGCACCCCCTGACACTCCCGCCCTTGCGAGACCCGGCAGCCGCCTCAGGCGTCACTGCCTCGCGCTGGGACCCAACCAAGCCGCGCCACCTCCTGTTTGTGTGTTTATGTGTTCTCACACTGTGTGTGTTCCCACCAAACAACACCGCAACCTGATATGTGTGCGCCCCCCACCCAGACTGTCACGGACCTGTTCTTCCGGACCAATGAGTGTCTCAGAACAGACGTCTCCACGTGCTTTCCCATAGGTGGGGCCAACAGGCAGCTCGGCACCAGAGCCAGCAGCAACCAATTGCAGGGGATAGGGCCAGCACAAAGCGGCCGGCTGCCGGGCTGCTCAGCCGGCTGGCAAAAAAAGGGGGAACGGCGGTTTGCTTCTGCGACCCGTGCAGGGCGCCTTGCGAGGGCCCCGCTGGTCCCGTCCTTGATCATCTTTGCGTCTCGTAATCTGGCCCGGGGACTGGCCGTCATTGTCGGGCGCCCCTAGCTGGCAGCCTTGAGGTCCTGGCACCGTACCTCCTCGGCCTCGGCCTGCGCACGCCATGGCATCTCCGCTTGACATGGTGGTTCATACTTTCTTCGAACACAACCAACCAAAATGCGTGCGTTTAGTTATTCGTGTGCCTTTGCATGCACTCTGACGCCAGGCACACACGTCGACCTGCCACACCCCTTCCAGGCGACCGCTACTACCAGCAGACCCACAGCGGCCTCGACGTCATGATCAACGGCTTCATAGACGCTTATGACTACCTGTCTGGTCTGCCAGCCGACAAGTCGCATGCGGACGACCCCAGGTCTGCAGATCGGGTTGAAATGTGCCAGATCTGGGTGGCGCTTTGTGATGGTGGTCTGACGAGGCGTCATGCGGGTCTGCTGTCGGGAAGCTTTCAGGCACGGTCGGCCGCCGCCGTGCTAGAGGGGATGCCAGCCTGTAGACACCTCAACGCAGCACGTTTTTCATGAACTCACCGGCGTATCGCGGATCATAAACCAAGAGCCACCTTGCCAGGCCGGTTTTGACTCTACCTTCCCCTGCTTCCTCAGCGTCCTGCCAACCTGCACCCCCCTGCCTGCCAGGTATCTGTACATAACCCGCTACGTCTCGGCCAACGACATGGCCCAGGGCCTGCGGCACGCCACCAACGTCTTCGAGTCCGACATGATCGCCTCCTTTGAGCAGTGCAAGATGCTGCACGTCGGGGTGCTGGTGGCCACGATAGCACTGGCACTGCTCTATGTGGTGATGCTTTTCAGGTGAGCCGACATGGGGGGGCTTTTGGGGGGGGGGCTGATGCTGTGCAGGTGAGCCGGATTAGGATTCGATTTAGGATTGTTACAAGAGCCGGCACGAGGGAGGGTGCGTGCGTGGGGAAGATGGGCTAAGTGTAGGGGCTGCTGCTGGTCAAGGCCGTCCAAGCGCGTGGCGCGAGCGTTGCGCCGGCGCGGCTGCTTGCAGGATGCAGGAGGAGGTTGGGTTGGGTTCGGGCGCCGGGCAGTGACCGCCGTACAGTCCCTGCATTTTGCTGTCCAGACGTGCTAACGACAAAGGTCTATGCGAGTGAGGTCTGCACCTGAATCGACCGCTGTTTTTCCATCAAGTAACCTCCAACTTAATTTGACCCTCATTCTTGAATGTGCCCCGGACTCTCACTCCCCTGTGAAGGCCCTATGCCCGCCGCCTGCATGACGAGTCATTGGACATTGCCGGCATGCTGAGCCAGCTGCCACCAGAGGCCGGGGCGGAGGACCACGTGCGCACTGTTGTGCTGGGCGGAGCAGCGGCATCCTCCGTCTCGGGCGGCGGCGCGGCACCCTCGGCTGGCGGCGGCAGTGGCGGGGCCGGGGCCGGCGCGGGGCCCGTGGCAGCTGGGGGCCGTGGCGTGCTGCTGTCGGTGGGGGGCGTGGTTGGTGGCGGGGCGCCATACTACGGCCAGGGGCCTGCGGCGAACGGTGCCGGCGGCGCCGCATGGGGTGCGGTTGGGCCCAGCGGCGGCGGCGGCGGTTACTACGGCGGCGGCGGCGGCGGCGGCGGCGGCGGTTACGGTGGCGGCGGCTACGGTGGCGGCGGCGGTGGCAGTGCTTACGGAGCCGCCAACGGTGGTTACGGCGGGTACAGCCAGGCGGGCGGGGCCAAGTATGGCGGGAGCGGCCCCAGCAGGAATGGCGGCGGCGGCGGCGGATACTAAATGAGGCTGCCAACGTCAGCCCTGGATGTGCTGCTCTGACGGGCTGCCTCGCGTTTCTTTGAGGGCCAGTGGGTCATGATGTCAAACGAGCATGGGGTCTACCTGAGCCCAGCCCTAGCCCATCTCTGTGTGAGGGCGATTGGCCGCCTTCTGGGCGGTGCGGCACCCTTACAGCATTGTCACGCATGCCCAGTGCTCCGCAGACCCACGAGTGCACGCCAGCACAAATCCCCGCTTGATCTGTTTGCATGGTGTGTGAGCTGTCGGCGGGCACGCCAGCCTCTGCATTCCATCAGCGCTGCCCTTGTTGGGGCCTTCGTTGGCAGTGCTTGGTAGCCTGCACAAGTCAAAGCGGCTCATACCACAGCCAGCTCTCACCAAGCTGTGCTGCTCTGCTCCAACTGTTCCAGACCGAAACCGCCTGACACCCTCCAAGTTTGCAGGCGCTCATTCCACAGGTGCTGTGTCTGTGGTTGACAGTCATGCTGCTTCGCTGTAAAAGTGCCTTGATTTCAGTTCAGCACATGAAGTAATGCAGGGATATCCTGCCAACACCGCTTGCAAAACCATGTCCAACAGTGGGCTCGACCCAGCCCCATGACACGGAAAATCTGCCAGCTCCAGCCGCATTCAAGTGCGAGACCAGAAATGGAGGATGGGAGAACTTGGATGAGAGCTCAGCGGTCGTTTGTTGCAATCACAGCATCCGGCCCGGATGGACTAGCCCATGCATTTCACCCAGGATCCTTGCAAGGCCTTGCAGACTAGCAGTGGCAGCAGCCTAGGCCTGGGAGGGGGGATGACGAGGTTGTTTGCGATGCAAACAGCGGGAGGCTGCCAGTGAGGCGGCGGTGTGCTCCCCCAATAAGGTGCAGACAATGATTTCAGTCAGCATGTGGCGATGGCAGCTCACTTTTATCGCCATCGCTGTGTTGTCCAGGCAGTTACTGGGGCACTAGCAGAGTGTCACTGCTGCAACGCGAGGCCGCCGGCCGCATGGTGCTGGTGATGCTGAAATAATGCTCCAAAATTTGTGCTTGCAAACATACCTGATATACTGCTTCAAGCCCTGCGGTATTGCGGGCGTGGGTCACGCAAATGCGCTTGTCAGTGTCACTACCCACTTTGTGTGAGTCACTCACACAGGCGTTTGGGGCAAGATCACATGCGTCTAGCAAGTCACAAATAAGGGATTGAATTATGACATTGGTCTGAAACTGCCACACCGTATATCGAAGCATCGCTCACACACTCGACCGACAAACCCAATTCAAGGGGTTTGCCCGGTATGGAGCAACCCACCTCTCAGCCAGAAGTTGGAACAGTTGTTGTTGTCACGGGTGGATCCAGCGGCATTGGCCGTGCGATCGCCGTCGCCTTTGCCGATGCGGCGCGTCGCGGCCAGCAGAATGTGCGGCATCCGGTCACAGTCGTCATTGCAGACGTCGACCGAGATGGCGGCGAAGAGACGTGCAAGCTTGTACAAGGCAAGAGCGCTTCACGGCGGAGCTGCCTGCATTCGCCAGGAGGCGGGATTTGTCAGCTCGGCTATGAAATCAGTGGGCTGCACAATTTGCCCACTTGTTTTGCCCAGCATGTTTTCTCTATTTCTAACCTGCCACACGCAGACCGTGGGGGCCAAGGCGTATTCATCCACACAGACGTGCGGGATGAGGCGGCAGTGGCCGCCCTGGCGGAGCAGGTCCGCAGCAGGTACGTGTGATGTCACAGGTGCAAAGACCCGCGTTGCCGCTGCTGCTGCTGGTGCTGCTGGTGCTGCTGGTGCTGCTGGTGCTGCTGCTGCTGCTGCTGCTGCTGCTGCTGCTGCTGCTGCTGCTGCTGCTGCTGCTGCTGCTGCTGCTGCTGCTGCTGCTGCTGCCGCTGCCGCTGCTGCTGCACTGGTGAGCCCCACTGCACATGTTACCGTGACTCGGTTGTGCTGCACCAAACTGAGCGGCGGTGCCAAACAATCGAACATATCCCTCCAGGCATGGCGCGCTGCACTACGCCGCGGTCAATGCTGGCGTGGAGGGTCCCTGCGCTGTGACGCAGGACTACCCCACCTCTGCATTTGATGCCCTTATGGCCGTCAACCTGAGGGGATCATGGCTGTGCTTGAAACACCTGCTGCCCCTGCTGGTGGAGACGGGGAAGGAGGGGGCTGTGGTGATCACAAGCTCAATCGCAGGTGCGGCAGGGGTTGGGCCCTGTGCTGTTCATGCATTGAGCATGGACAAGATGCCAGGCGTGGCATGAATTACTGCCGAGCAAGCACTTGTAAAGGGTTGCCTGAGAACACACTTCCCGGAGCGGAGGGCCGGCTCCAGCCTTGGGGCGCTGTGTTCGCTGGGCCTGGGTGGCAACTTCTGGACCACCTACCCCACGCCACCCCTAACACTGCTGCAGCATCCCTCCATCATCGGCCCCTACAGGCCTGCGTGGCATGCCCGAGATTGCTCCCTACTCGGCCAGCAAGCACGCTCTCATCGGCCTGGCCCGCAGCGTTGCCCTCGAGTACGCAGGCCGCGTGCGCATCAACTGTGTCTGCCCCTCTGGCACGGACACGCCCATGGTGCAGCGCTTCGTGCAGCAGAGGCCAGACTGGGAGCAGGTAGGTCGCCCCTATAGCAAGGCTTTTGATGAAGGGCTGCGCTTGATTCGATCTGGGCAACACCGCTCAGCTCAATTTTGCTCAGGGCTAACTGCTTACATCTGGCGCACATGGCAAGGGGGGTTGTCTGAGGTTGCAAACCACCGTGAGCGGCTTTGAGTTTCTTTGACCGCCATGCGAAGTCTGCATAACAGTACCGACAGCATCCACCTATACGCCACGCACGATCAGCAGCACGCCCTCACCCCACCCTCCGCCAGGCCGCCACCAACCTCAGCAACCCAATCGGCCGCATCGCGCGGCCCGAAGAGGTGGCGGAGGCGGTCCTGTGGCTGTGTACCTCCGCCACGTACACAACTGGCTCGCACCTCTCGCTGGATGGTGGAGCGGGTGCGTGAGAAAGAGAAGAATGTTGAGCTGCGGCATGCTTCACAGTGATGCGCGATTTGGCAGGCTATGGGCACATTTTATTCAGGCATTACGATAATTGTCGGCGGTCCCGCAGGGCACTGTATTTTGCGTTGATTGCTGCTGCGCATCCTGGGATAGGCCAGATAAGACAGGCAATCAGAGCAGCCTGTGTGGTTGCTAGTGTCATGAGCCATGCAAGCTTGCGCTTTGGGACTCCCCTTGTAGATGCCCTATGTGCACAAATGTTGACCTCCTACAGCTGCGTAATATCTAATAACACTTTGGTGAACGGCAACACCAACAGAAACCAGGATGATAAAATGCGGCAGCAGGTTTAATGCAGTATCGGAGCACTGCCAAATGCGCTTACAGTTGGCGTTTGGCCATTGCATGCCAGTTAGCAGCCGGACAGAAGCGCCCCAATCTATGCATTGCGATCAATAAGAAGCAGGTTGCCGTCAAAGCGCCTCCACCAGGCGGCACAAGGTACTCTTGTGTACAAACAATTGGCAAGTACAGATCAAAGGATCAATGATGACAGCTTTTGACTGCGCTGCACGGCACGAGGCCGCTGGCTGCCCACATGGTGCTGCAGAGGCTTATACTGTGCTGCAGTCAATATTTAACACAAATTGCCAGAGGATATTGCTGCAAGCCCTACTTCATGGGTCACTTTTGCAGGGCACTGCGAGTGCCGGTGTCACTACCAGCAGTCCAGCCAGTACGGGCAGCAGGAGTTCATGCAAGTGTTGCAGCCGAAGCAGGTGGCGTGGTAAATGTTGGTTTGCATCCCCACAGATCAACGCATTGCCGAAAGGCTATGATCGAACCCGCAACTCTCGATCTCGAACCAAGGGGTTCGCCCGGTATGGAGCCCAGCACCTCTCAGCCAGAAGTTGGAACAGTTGTGGTTGTCACGGGTGGGTCCAGCGGAATTGGCCGTGCTATCGCTGTCGCCTTTGCCGATGCGGCGCGTCGCGGCCAGCAGAATGTGGGACATCGAGTCACAGTCGTCATTGCAGACATTGACCGTGAGGGCGGCGAGGAGACCTGCACGCTTGTACAAGGCAAGAGCGCTTCACTGCAGGAGCTGTCTGCATTGGGCGCTGCCAGGTGGCGGCGGGTGCCTGCGTGAACCCAGCGGGCCTCCTTGCGAACATAAATTGGGCCCAGAGCGTCTGCCTCACGACCTCCACCACATGCCACCCGCAGACTGCGGGGGCCAAGGGGTATTTGTCCACACAGACGTGCGGGATGAGGCGGCAGTGGCCGCCCTGGCGGAGCAGATCCGCAGCAGGCAAGGGACTGCCACGGATGTCATACGCTGCTACTGCTGCTGCTGCTGATGCTGCTGATGCTGCTGATGTGAACCATGATCATGCTCATCCAATTTGATCCTAATGCATCATGCTGAGCCTTGATTTACTCTGCAAAGTTATCAGGTGTGGCGCGCTGCACTACGCCGCGGTCACTGCTGGTGTGGAGGGTAGCCGTGCTGTGACGCAGGATTACCCCACCTCTGATTTTGATGCTCTCATGGCCGTCAACCTGAGGGGATCGTGGCTGTGTTTGAAACACCTGCTGCCGCTGCTGGTGGAGACGGGGAAGGAGGGGGCTGTGGTGATCACAAGCTCAACTGCAGGTGCGGCAGGGGGTGGGCCCTACACTAAACATGCGCATGGCGAGCGAGCTGCGGGCGGCGTAGATTTTTCCTGCTCAGACAACGCTTGTGTGAAGAGGTGCATCACAAAGCACTCATGATGTACCCGCATACCTAGCAGAGAAGCAGGAGGCTCAGCGGCGTGCAAGGTATGTATCCGCCCGACAAGTAAGGTGACTGCATCACAGTACCCTTGACCAGGGTTCTAGCATTCAATTTGCTGACCTCAAGAACGCTTCATCCATCACTGCTGCAGCCTTGCTTCGCTGCTCATCCTTGCAGGCCTGGGCGGCATGCCCGAGTTCGCTCCCTACTCGGCCAGCAAGCACGCCCTCATCGGCCTGGCCCGCAGTGTTGCGCTCGAGTACGCCGGCCGCGTGCGCCTCAATTGTGTCTGCCCCGCATCCACAGACACACCTATGGTGCAGCGCTTTGTACAGCGGTGGCCAGACTGGCAGGTAGGTGGTCTGCAGCAGAGGAAGCTTTGGTTTGATAGATTGGCGTGTGGTACTATCTATAGAGAGTGCGCAGCTAGCTTAATCATGCATGTGCACAAGAAGTTACCGGAGGTTCTGCTGAAAGGTATCTGTATCTGGCGCGTGGCTCTTGACATAGGGCAGGTGGTTGCCAGTGTTGCCGCGGTGAGTAATTTACCTCGCTTCCCCTTGCCCCCTGGGTGTTGTTGGTGGGCAAACAAAGTATCAAGATCTGATCTCAATGGCTGCACTGTATTCAAACACACCCAGGCCACGACCAACGCCAGTTACCCTATCGGCCGCATCGCGCGGCCTGAGGAGGTGGCGGAGGCGGTCCTGTGGCTGTGCACCTGCGCCACGTACACAACTGGCTCACACCTCACCTTAGATGGCGGCGCAGGGGCGTGATAGAATATAATCAAGAGGTGTAAAAGGCTGTGATATTGCAAGTTGGCAGGCCCCCGTGCGAGAGAGAGAGAGAGAGAGAGAGAGAGAGACTACGCAGGCTGTGACGCCCGCGTAAATTAAGGAAGAGGGGGCTGGCTTGCGGGGGCCGAGGCCGCCGCGCCGCCCCCTCACCAAGCCCCCGTGCGTTTAGACGATCGGTGGAGGTCTGGTGGTGCGCCTTGCCCTGAACATGTGCTGTATGCATATCAGCAGCTTCATTCCGGCATGCATTTATCCTGGACCGCTGGAGAGCGTCCAATAAAGTGCCCGCTTTGACACGCGCGTTGGCCTTCATTCCCTTCCGCAGCAGCACTCCTGCCTCCGGCAAGACTTTTGCAGACAATGTCGGGATGATACCAGAACAGCATGGAAGGCTTTGTGCTGCAACAAGACAAAGGCATCAAGAAACGCAAGCGCCTTGTTCAACCACAGTAGAACAGCTGCATTCTTGTGGCCCCATGCAAGTAGTTGCAGATTTGGGCAAGGTCAAGACCAGCAGGGATTTCTCGTGTTGGAGTGCCCCATGGGCGACCATTACACCATGTACCAAGTGTGAGTATGCAGGTCCATCACGCGCCAATGAATGGATACGTGCCCACCAGTCAGCCGCGTACCTGAACGTGAGGTGCGTTGACGTGTTTGACTTGGGTTGAGCTGTTGGTCATGATCTGACAACTCGGCAGCCGAAACATGGACACCCACCGGTGAGCTAGCAACTCTGAAATACGGTATTATAAGATTTTCACCAAGCACGGGGGCAGAAAGGGGAGGCAGCGGATGCTGCAGTTCTGAAGGCACTGGCACCATGACGGACAGACTTCAAAGCCACGACCACAACCATTATTACCCTAACACAATGTATGTAGCTGCGTCAATAACGCGTAGGAATTCAGTTGCGCTGCCCACCCCTTCGCCCCTTGAGATCGGCAAGTCGACTAGATCGCGACACACAAACCGCAACGCAAATCTGGCCCGCCCCGGGGATCAATTGGATCTTTGTGAAGCCTTGTGTCAAGTCCACGGCCTGCGGGAGCTGCTGCACCATGTCAAGCATCGAGCTGCAGGGGGTCGGCTACGATGTAACACAGCTGCGCAACACGCTCCTCGGCAGACCGCTCAAGCAGCGGTCACAAGGTGGGCTTGAAAGCGAAACCCGGCCAACTCATCATCATCACCCTGTTTCCCGCCAACCCCACACCGAAGCCATTCGCAACCATCTCTGCCCTTGCCGCCCACTGCAGTGACTAATGAGATCACCCACATCGTGATTGACCTGGGCGTGGAGCAGCATGTCCCTGGCCTGCGCGACAGGGCTCAGGTCCAGGCGCGCCGCAGGATGGTTGTCAAGGGCGTAACTATCGACCTGCGCTGCTGCTACTGATGGGGTCGCAGTTCACTCGAGAGGTGTGAGTCGTCGTGACGCCCCAGATGCTTGCTGGGGTGGCCGGCATGAGGATGGTGAAGACGTGCAACATGCGTTGGGATTCAGTGCAGTCTTGCCGCTATGGCTTCACATGGCATGCGCAGCTGGTCGCATGCATGCTGCATGACCCCTTTCATGCATCATACCAGCCCTGCTGCCAGCGACCCACACGCACAACCCTGCCCCACCTTTCTCACTCACCCTACCACAGTTTTGCCTGAAGCAGATACCAAACCTAGCGCGCGCGTTCATCAGGCACTCCGTGGACGTCTTTGCCACCAGCCTCGAGAAGCGCGCGGCCGCCGGCCAGCAGCGTGCCGGCCAGGCCAGGACCCAGCAGAAGCTGTTTGAGGACCTTGTGCAGCTGGAGCTGCAGCTACGCCAGATCGCTAGGGCAGAGGCCGAAGCTGCCGCCTGTGCACACGCCGCGGGTGCAGCGGCCTCAGCGTCCGCGGGGTCGTGGGCCTCGGCGCCTGGCGTACGCGAGCGACGGCAGAAGCACGCCGCGGCGGCAGGGGGCCTGGCAGGCCTTAGCCGCAAGGAGATTGGCCAGCAGATGCTCAGGATAGTGGAGGAACTGGCCAAGCCCGTGGCGCAGGCCATTGAGGATGTGTCGGCAGAGGAGTCCCTGGCCTTGTTTGATGCGGACCCGGACTGGCTCGCCACCACTTTCGGCGACGGCCAGTCGGCGGGTGAACGGTCTTGCTGAAAGGGCTGCTTGCATCGCCAAGCTTGCCCCTGTTGACCTACGCCTGATCTACATTTTGGGGACCTTGCTGGTCAACCTCCCTGCTGCTGACCTGCTGCTGACCCGTCAGTATACCGACTGCTCCTGAATGCCGCTGCTTGCAGGGGAGCTGTTTGGCCTGCAGAACTACATCGGCGGCGTCCTTGTGAGCTCTAAGGTTCAGCAGCGCTCTGCCACCCCCAACAACGAGCTGGTTTTTGACTACGTCTGCCAGCTCCGCAAATTTTTTGCGGGTGCCGCAGACCGCCTGGAGACGTCCCCATTCAAGGACTGGGTCGGCCACCTGCGGGAGTCGGGCACGCAAGGGGACCCCCAGGGAGCCAAGCTGGAGGCTGTCAAGCGGCAAGTGCAGAGGGAAGAGCACGACAACGTCGAGCAGAAGAGCCTTCAGCCCTTGCAGGAGGCCAAGCAGAACAAGCAGCAGCAGCAGCAGCAGCAGCAGCAGCAGCAGCAGCAGCAGCAGCAGCAGCAGCAGCAAAATCAGGAGCAGCAGCAAGACCAGCAGGAGAACACACAAGAGCATGAGACTCACCCACAGCAGAAGGCGAAAAACAGGGATTCAATAGCCACGCGCGGGCGGGGCCAGCCGCGCCGAAAGGCACGGTGTGGGACGCTCTGAAACAAGGGCCCTGGTGTGTTTGAAGAGCTCAAGATGTGCAAGCAATGACCGTTTTGTGGTGCCCACCTTCCCGTTTGCAGCATGGCCATCAAATCTCCTTGTAGCACATACGCAACCCCCGGACGCATTCAAGCAGGACGCAGAAGCCACAATTGTGCAGTGGTTCAACACTTTGCTCTTCACTGACCCAGTCAACACAACTGCCACCCTCGTCATGCCTTCAAGCGCGGCAAGCGCTACACTCATGATGCCAACTTGCCACCTCTTCCCACCTGCCAAGTGTGGGATTTTTAGAGCAAGGTGGCAAGCACCCAGCAGCCTGACCGGCTGATGTCACACCTTTGCTGATCATCTGTGGCACACACACTGCCACTATGCATGCAATTGTATCGCCTTGATTTTCGTGTAACCAGTCAATTAATATTGTATGCAGCTTGTCAGCACGTGCGATGATGACCTCAAATTGAATGTAAGGGGGCGCACAAAGGCTGCCATATGTGCACTGTGCGCTCAGTGCCGACCCTGACTGTGCTGAAAACGACCGTTTCCCCTCAAAAAGGGGTTGTGCGGGCAAGTGACATGGAGATGGTTGCTTGCTCGCAGTATATCCGAGCGATATGATGCCGCAAGTGAACATGGACACATCACAATGCTCAATATACAATGACGGCAGGCCAGGGAAGTCAGGAGGTAAGCGCCCGGATCGCGAAACGCGCCGCACCTGGTTGACTTCAGTCTGCACGGCGCCTGGGTGGTCGCCAAGGGGGGCTGCCGGCCAATGAAGGGGGGGCGCAGCGTGCGCATGCATGCAATAAAGCTTTTGAAATGCACTCAGGGGCGCGGCTGGGGCCTGTCAGCACACCAAAGTTGGTTATGTCCACCCCCGTGGGCACCAAGCAAGGGATGCAGCCCACGCACGCTTTTGCAGGGCCACCCTGCCCGCACACACGCATCGCTGCGCACTGCTGGCGCACAGCACCAGTAGTGTGCCCCGAGGAACAAGGCCAAGCCGGCCCAGGTGTGCTTGCGCGCGCGCACTGTGAACGGCCCCAGGTCAACGCCCCCTGCAAGTCTGTCGTCAACACCCTCACCAAGGCGCCCTACCGCAGCAGTCATGGCACACGGACCACGGCAAAGCTGTGGATCGCGGTGACCCCTAGGGTCAACAGGCACCCGCCACGCCTTCCAGTCGTGCCACCATCCCCATGCCAGCCCGGCAGCAAGCCATCAGCTCTGCCGCCGAATGGGCGCCACACCTGCAGGGCCGTGCAGCGTGGAAGGCCCCTCTGCATCCGCGTCACCGGCCACTGCGCCCTGGTCCCAGCAGGGCACACGCAGATCCCTGGACTCAGAGACCTCACCCAGGCCCGCATCGCCGCAAGGCGCAGCTGCACGCGCCTGCCGCGGTCGGTTATGTCCGCCTGGTGGGGCCTTGGTGCTGCGGGGCCTGCTCACAAGAACGCGCGCGTCCGCCCCGCCAGCCACGCTGCAGGCGCCGCCCATACAGCAGGCAGCGGATTCACCATGTCATCTCATGTCGCGAAGCGCCTGGCGCGGCAGCGCGCCTGCGGCGCCCGCTGCCTGGCGCACCGCTGCAGCAGCAGCAACTCTTGAAGCGGGCGGGCGGCCTGGCGCGGTGAGCTGCATGCGTGATGCTGAGTGATTGCTGTCAGTGTCCGTGATCCCCCATGATGAAAGCTACATGTTTCCCCCTCGTTCTTCACTCAAACAGGGTGTGGGCAAGTGACACGGAAGTGGGTATTTGTCCGCTCTGTATCCGAGCTACAAAATGTCGCGAACGAAGTATGGAAGCATCGAAATGATGATCATTACACAACGGCAGGTCGGGGCGATCAGGAGGTGAGCGCTCGGATGGCGCCCCCTGCAGCACCTGGTTGACTCAGTCTGCATGGCGCCCAGGTGCGTGGTTGCCAAGAGGGGGCTGCCGGCCAGGGGAAGGGTAGCCAAGGGTGCATGATTATGCAGTCAAGCTGTTGCAACACATGCAGGGGCCCGGCTGGGGCCTAAAAGCACACTAAAGTTGGTTATGTCCACCTGTGTTTGCACCCAGGGATGCACCCTCTCCCAGCCACACCACTGCATTTGACGTGAGGCCGCCGCCCAGGAAACAAGCTGCAAAGCGTGCGCATGAATGCAACAAAGCTTCTGAGATACACTCAGGGGCGCGCCTTGGGCCTGTCAACACACCAAAGTTGGTTATGTCCACCTGGGTGTGCAGCAAGGCATGCGGCCCACGCACGCTTGTGCAGGGCCACCCGGTGCGCACCACGGCCCCGCCCCTTGGGATGCGGTGCCTCTATCTGATGCCACCACGTCCTCGCAAGCTCACGCGGCTTGTCCAGCAACACTTTGCAAGGGGCTTATTTGCAACTGCCCATCAAGCGTGTTACTAGCCTAGTGGTCAAGCCACGCTGGGACCCAGCAGCCGCGCGTACTGTTGCTGCAGCGTCGCAACATCGACCAAACGCACAGCGCCGCTCTCTGCCGCTCGCAGCAGAGAGTCGCTGGGCCACGGCTGCTGGTCAATGCGTGCCGATGATGACGTGCCTGCCTCGCTGGATGCAAGCCTGCGGGCGGGTCATGTGGAGGTCGGCAGGCAAAAACAGTGTCAGGCAAGCGCACTCACACACCAGTGCAGTGCGCATCGTATCAGGGCATGGAAGCAACATGCAATGACAGCTTTTGCCCTTGGAATGTGCAGCAGCTGGAAACATGCCCACGCACCTCCTCAGCAGCTGGCGCTCCAGCTCCGCGCCCATCAGGCTGGCATAGTCCGCAGCCAACAGCCGTGCGTGGCCGACTGGCAGGGAGTTGGGCTCCGCCGCCATCAGCCGCTGCCGAGCCGCTGAGATCAGCACCTCCGCCCCCAACCCGGCATCCCTGTCATGCGCGCCGCCTGCCCCGTGGCTGTCGCCGCCGCCCAGCAGCTCGTGCCCGAGCGCGGCGAGGCCCGCCAGGTGGCCGGCTGGCGGCATGGTCACTCGGCCGCCCCCGACAGTGGCGGCGGGACCCCCAGGCGGCAGGCCCATCTGCGCTCGCAGGGCGGCGAGCGGGCCAAGGGCGGATGAATGCGGCACGGGCTGCGTGTTGGGCACGGGTGGCCTCTCAGCTGCCCCTGCAGCCGTCAGGTTCGTGTAGTCCAGGAGGGCGGTGTTGCCCAGCCGCTGAGTCAGCGCCTCCAGCCTGTCAGGATGGAGGGCATGTGTTTGGGTGATTGCTGATTGGTTGCTGCGGCTGCCGGCTGCAGTGTAGCAGGGTGCAAGAAGAAGAGGGGCGGCTGTGCAAACGACCTCAGGTTGCAGCGCGCAACACTGCGCCGATGCAGCAGTGGGCGCATCATCGCCGGGCTGTTCCCTAGCGCGCTAGGCAACAGCCCTGGTAGGAAGCCCCCTGCCCTCTTGCAGAGCTGCAAAGGCAGCGCAGCACACACACACACACACACACACACACACACACACACACACACACACACACACACACACATACGCACACACACGCATATGTGGGTGACTCACGCACCCTGGCTGCAGCTGGTTGCCGATCTTTGTGGTGATTGATGACAGGGCAGCCCCAGGGTTGCGGATCACGTTCCGCAGCTCAGACCAATCTCCGCTGCCAGTGGCCTGCAGCAGCCCTGTGCCTGCCGCCTGCAGCTGTGCCAAGCGCGACCACTGCGGCAGCTGCTGGGTCTGCGGCTGCTGCGGCGCCTGCTGCTGCTGTGGCGGGCCCTGGTGCGGCAGCGGCTGGGCTGCAGCGGCCGAACCAGGCTGCGCGGGCCAGGCAGCTGCTGCTGCATCGGCAGCTTGGGCCGTTGCGGAAGCAATGGCCTCAATGCCGCTGGCGCCGCCGCCGCCCGCGCCGACGTTGTCTGGTCGCATCAGGGCTGGAGAGGATTCGAAACCGAGGCGCGACAGCCGCGGGCTGCCGGGCTGCGAGCCCTGGGGGCTGGTGGCGTCGCTGCCGCTGGGCGTTGCGGCAGGCGCAGCTGCTGGCACGGGCGTGGGCGCAGGCGAGCTTGCTGCCGGCGGGGGTGGCGGTGGGGGCGCGTCCTTGGCGCGCAAGGGCTGCAGCAGCGACTGTAGCAGGGATGTCTGGGGACCCGCCGGTGGCCTTTGTTTGGATAGAAGGCAACGAGAGCGGCGGCAGAGGGTCCTCGTACATCAGGGATTTGAGCACGCGTGCGCATGGCCCCCTAGTGAACATTCCAAACCACATACAGGGCGCGGCGGCTGCGCAGGCGACGACGAGTTGGTCATTGTGGCTGTGAGCAATCGTCACCTGAGGACCGTGTGTGCACTGGCCTCCACAGAGGGCAGGGTGCCCAGGGCCCTGCTGCTTGCCGCTGGCAGCTCGTCGGGCTGCGGGGGTGGGGAAGGGTTTGCAACGCACGGACCGGATTATTGAGGAGACCAGCTGGCAGCTTGCGTGAGCATGTGCACGCACAAAATTTCACTCGTGCAATCACGCTAAACCCCTCTCTGGCGCAAGACACGCTGATTGTGATGCTCAAACCCCAGCGTGCTTGCTGGCACAATTCCCCTTGGTTGTGCCTGCTCACGCGCCCCCACACATCCCATGCTGCCGGCAGCCCACCGGTTCCAGCCACCAGAGGTCATCGCAGATGCCCTCCCGCCACCGGCCCCCCAGCAGCAGCACGCGCCCGTCCCGCAGGGGCGTCAGCGTGGCGCACATGCGCTCGCGCGGCCACGCCGCGGGCGCCGCGGGCGAGGAGCCCGCGGGGCTGGCGGGCTGGGAAGAGGCGGCCGCGCTGGCGGGGGCGCCACTGCTGGGCTGTGGTAATTGAACCCACCTGCGCAGCACGACAAGGAGGACAGGCTTGCACTGTCAGGAGCTGCCTGCTCTCAGCCGAGGTGCACCCAGCACTGCCCTTCCCCGCGCGTCAGCCTCAGCCCTGGGGGGCGCAGCTGGCAGCCAAAGCAGGCAAGGAGGGTATTGTGCTCACGTGAGGGCGCCCATGTCCCCGAGCCACAGCTCAGCCGTCTGGACGTAGCTCCTGGCCAGGTAGGGGAAGCTGCTCTGGTCCATGCAGCCGCCGAAAACGGCCAACAAGCCGCTGCAGGTGGGCGCCGCTGCGGGGGCCGCGCCGGGGTCTGCTGCAGCTGCCTCGGCCGAATGGCCGTCTGGCGCAGAGGGCGGGGACGGCAGCACTGCGACGGCGGTGCAAGGGACCGGAGGAGTGCTTTCACCACAAACGGAGCACGAATGGGTTGGAGCCCAGGGCGCCCTCTGCTCGCGAGTGCATTGCTGTCGGGTGTTGGGCTCAAGCACCTCCCTGCCAGGGCCCCATCGATGCCTACCTACTGCAGCGTGGCCAAACCGCGGCCCCGGCCCCGCCTTCATCCGTAGCTGCGTCCAACTTGCGACGGCACCGCAGCCCTCTGCTGCCGCCGCCGCCGCAGGCGGCTCCTGCTGCCTGCTATCGCCGTCGCCACCATCAGGGCCGAGGGCGCAGCTGCCGGGAAGCTGCAGCACCCACAGGTCGTCCAGCAGGCCGTTGTCCTTCTCCCCACCAAACAACGCCGCGGCCGGCGGCTGCCCGGGCACGGCTGGCACCGGCGCCAGCGCGTGCATCTTGCGGGGCGGCGGCAGGGGGCCCTCGGGCTTCAGCTGCGTCCAAGCAGACCTGCGGGCATGAGGGACCAGAAGAGAGGGGTTGCCGGGAACACCTTCAAGTCCTTAAAGGCTAAGGCCATGCCAGCTGCTGCGCCTGCTTTGGCACGGTCTTGTCACGACGGAGCGGCGGCATGACCGCACTGCCACGCGGGTCCTTCGTGCCATGTCCTGGAAGCGAATCGTAGAAGCTCACGTTGATGTGTCAAACACCCAGGCATCGTTCAGAGCGCGCTGCGCCTCGCTGCGGCCGCCGAAGAGCAGCAGGCGGCCGTCCGCCAGGGCAGCCAGCGCTGCCATGTCGCGCTTCGGGGGCAGCGGTGATGATGCCGCCACCTCCACGCGCCGCCACTCCCAGTCCTCCTGAGGAGTTGCATGCAGCCGTCAGAGTGCGCCTCGTGACTGGGTCGGGGTCACGGGACCACGCCAGCTCCGCGCAGGGGGCTGCGAACGTGGCCTTGGACTGAGCATGATGCTATCCAATGCTGCTGCTGATGGACGCTGCACATGGTCAGTTGTTTTCAATCAAAGTCATCATTCGACCCACCCACCACATTCAGGCTCCACAGGTCGTCGAAAAACAGCCGCCGCTTGCGCCCCGCCTCGAGCGTGAGGATGTGGCCGCCAAACACGAGCACGCGCCGCCCCAGTGCTGCGGCGCAGTGGAATGCGCGCGGGCCGGGGCCCCCGGAAGCCGGCGCAATGACGTCCGGCTTTGACCATGTCCCGCTCTCCACCTTCATCAGGCGCAAAAGTGCGAGGGAGGCTGGTGTGTGTGCGTATGTGCAATGAGACGCGATTTTGTGTGTGCATTTGCGTTTGCGTATTTGTTTGTGTGTGTTTGTACGTGTATGTGATTGGTTGCTGCTGCAGAGTGGGACACATGGGCTGAGGCACTCGCACACGCAGGGATAAACCCAACTGCCACTTCCCAATACTTTTAGCAATCTGCGCAGCTGCTGACGCTGTCGACGACTTAGAGCCCCACCTGCAGCACCATCACGTCCCCCAGGGCCTTCTGCGCCAGCGTTGCGCCTTCAGGGCTGAAAAGGGGAGGGCGACAGCACAATCAGCAGGGCGCAGACTCATCGTGCGACTCCAAGCCAGTATACGCTCCTGCTGGCCCAATCTAGTGCCGCGTGTGGTTGCAGATGGTAGAAGGACACCGCACGGATGCACACCCTGCTCACCCGCGCTGTGCAGAGACGCCGCCATAGACGACCACGACTTGAGCGCCACCCTTGGCTTCGAGGGCGGATGCGCTGTGCCCGAAGCGCCCCAGCTCGACCTGAGCATCAGCGACTGAAGCGTAGCACGGAGACCACAGATTTGATGTCATGCTGCCCAAACCACGTGGTCTTCACCTTGAGAGCATGACAAAGTGGGGGGTGACTTTTAGATCACTATACACAGCAGGACATCCAAGTTGAATGTCTACATCGTGAATCGCACCACACACGAAAGTTTATGATATCACACTCTAATCAGATTGAACTCGCCTGCCTAAAAACACGACAAGGGATCCCCGTGTTCTGTCGACCGTGCGCGCTTGCATCGTGCTGGTGAATACGACAAAGTTATACACCGTGGCATTCAGCCCTGGATTGATCCGCCGATGTCTTCCCTCCTGAAGGCGTCGCAGAGCAGCTCGGTGCAGCTCAATCCCGGCAAGAGCACCCTTCCAAGCAGCTGGCACGCTGCATGGTGTCGGAAGGGACCTAGCCCTCGCGTGGTGGTGAGCCGCTGCAATGAGGGCGGCCACCGCAACTGCGTCACCCGCTCGCGCCGGCCGCTGGTGCCGCCGCAGCCTTGTCAATGGCTGTCTTGGTGGTGTGGTGCAGCGGCTATGCCTTATTGTATGGCATTAAGTGTACACATCTCTTGGGGTCTGCACAATTTTGGCGCTCACATGGCCGCTGCATACGACTGGCCGACCCCTCGCCAGGCCCGCCGCCGCCGTGCCGCGCCGCCAGCGCACGCCGCAGCAGCCGCTGACCAGCAGCAAGAGCAGCAGCAGCCGCAGCGCCTACCCCAGTCGCAGCGGTCCATGCCGGCCAACGAGGACATGAGCAAGACGCTGTCGCTGGCCAACATCCGGTCGTCGCTGATCCGCCAGGAGGACACAATCATCTTCCAGCTGATCGAGCGCGCCCAGTTTGCGCGCAACACGCCGGTGTATGTCTCCGAGGGCGTCCCAGTGCCAGGTGCGTGCGGACATATGCTGCTGCTGGGCAAGGAAGGCCGTTGGTGGGGTGTAGACCTGGGGTTGCATGGGCCCGATACGCTGTCTGTTGACACTCAGCAGCTGAGCACAGCGCTGCAGCTTTGCTGCCAGACGTATGGCCTCTTGACATGCCCAATGATTCAAGAGTCCCTGTTATTCTGTCATTGCGTCCTTGTGTGTGTGACTGTGTCCCTGCGAGTGTTCCTGGATCCGCAGAGCCACCCACCACCCTCGTCCTGACAACACCTACTACCACCGTGCGCCCCGCCCCAACATGCATTAGGCTATGACCGCAGCGGGCGCCGCTACTCGCTGCTGGAGTATGTGCTGCGGGAAACTGAGCAGCTGCACGGCTCCGTGAGGCGGTACACCAGCCCAACGGAGCACCCCTTCTTCCCAGGTGCGCGCCAGGGCCTCTGCCTGCGGCAGGCAGCAGCTGCTCTCGAAACTGGGAGGGCTGCACAGCGACCCCGCGGCGGCGCGCGGCTGAGCAGCTCCCCACCTCGTTGAGCGCGCCCTCCACCCACACCACCCTGTCCGGCTCTTCACAATCCTCCCTCCCCTGGTGTGCAGACGAGGTGCCGCCGCTGGTGCTGCCGCCCATCAGCTACCCCAGCGTGCTGGCGCCCTGCGCCGAGCGCATCAACCTCAACGCCCGCATCATGCAGGTCTACACTGACGAGATCCTGCCCGGTGCGCCTAAGAACGAGATGAGCAGCGGAGTATGTTCGCGAAAAGTGGTAGCCTTTTACGGGTCTGGTCCTTCCAGTTGGGGCGCGTCCTTGGGGCGGCGCGTGGCTGCGAGCCCAGCCTCAACCCCTCACGCCGAAGGGGCCCAGGGAGCACGTCAGCGTGCCACGCGCCCCCCTACCCCATGTTTTTCCCGCTGTACCCCCCGCACCCGGCCCCCAGCCATTGCGGAGGACGGGGACGACGGCAACTACGGCAGCGCGGCGACGCTGGACGTGCTGGTGCTGCAGGCGCTGTCGTCGCGCATCCACTACGGCAAGTTTGTGGCGGAGGCCAAGTTCAGGTGCGGCCCGGTTGTTGTGCCGCCTGCAGCAGCTGGCCCTGCGCGCGGTCCCCACGTGCGCATCGCAGGGAATCCCTCGGCTGTGCGGTCCAACGTCCTGTCTGCGACCAGCCCTGTTTGAACTCTCTCTTGTGCCCCGAGCATGCAACAATCGAACATGCTGAATTCCGCACTTGGGGCTGTGTTCACCACCCTGTTCGCACCATCCCGGCGTGCTGGCATCGACGTCTCTGTCCCCCAAACCCTGAACCCAAAGGGCGCGCCCCGAGGCGTACACGCCGCTGATCCGGGCGCGCGACGCGGACGGCCTCATGGCGCTGCTCACCGACGAGCCCCAGGAGCGCCGCGTCGTGGAGCGCGTGCGCATCAAGGCGGCCACGTTTGGGCAGGACATTGAGATCCCCGCGGACGTCACCACGGCCGGCGGCGGCAGCGCCGCGTGGTTCGCGCGGTCGGCTGCGGCGGCCGCGGCCAACGTGATGGGCGGGGCGACGGCGGCGGCGGCGGCTGGCGGGGGCGCGGACGGCGACGGCAGCGGCACGGGCGCGGGCGCGGGCACGGCGCTGCTGCCGAGGTTCAAGGTCTCATTTGACGCCCTGGCGGACATCTACGATCGCATCGTGATGCCCCTCACAAAGGACGTGCAGGTGAAGGCCGGGGGGTGGGCCGCGTGCTTGCCGGAGTGCTTGCGCCCGCGTACACCGATGCGGGCGTTCGCCGGCGTTCCAATGGGCGGGCAAATGCGTCACAACCGAGTCGCTGTTTGAAGCAGCTTCCTTACCCATGGGAGTCGTATGGCCTTCTCCCGTGGCAGCAGCCCTGTTTGCGCGCGTGCACTCGGCAGCCATCCTTACTCCACACTGGTCCTCGCGCCATGCTGCCCGCAAACAATATGCGAAACTCCGACCACGCCCTGCCTCCCCGGCCTTGCGTGATCCCCCAAAAGGTGATGTACCTGCTGCAGCGGCTGGACGACGAGCCTAGTGCTGACGGACAGTAGCGGCGGGGCGGAGGCGACCAGTCTGGCATCCTCGCATTGAACCTCGGCAGCGGTGGTGGCAGCCGGTCGCAGCTGCTGGACAGCCTGACAGCTGCCCAGGTCAGCCTGGCTTGCCATGGTCCTCTGCTTGCTGTTTCTCCCCTGTTTTTTGTTTGTTCTGTGTCCCCATCAACTTGGCAAATCTGGTATGATCCATTCCTGGTCAACAAGCCACTGGGTCCTGGTGGCCATGTGGCAGAAAACGCTCAAATGCCAACCTGCTTTTGATCACTTTGATTTGACTGGGAGCGCTGCCTTGACCTCACTTGATGCGAAGAACCCCGTATATACTGTTACATACACGTCGCTATCACAAGGTACACAAATTGCGAACAACAATGGACAGCTCAGCAAAGGGACGGTTCAAAGCGTCACCCCTCTTCAACAGAGGCAGGCAGTGATGCACAGTGACACCACACAGCAAAAAAGGCTCAGCACCAATCAGTTGCAATCAGCTAGGGAGGCTGATCACAAAGTGAAATGCGTGGAGTTTGCCGTGTGTGAGGCACAGTGAGGGCGGCAGCTGCCGCCCTGGGGGTTGAGGCGCTCAGGTGCTGTCGAGGCGCTTGCATTTGCCTGGCGCTAGCTTCAGTCAGAGGGGGCCGAGCAAGCTTAGTCACGCCGATGACGTGGGCCTCCACCCTGCGCCCCCTGAGGGCCATCACGCTGCTGCCTCAACACTCCACGGGCACAAGCCGCCGCAGTGCCTGCGCTTGCGGGGCGCCTAGCTCTGGAAGCGAGCGCTACACTGATCAAAACTTGGGCTGGGGAGGGCGCACAGGCCAGGTGGCGCGTTCAGACGTGCGTGCGCGGGAGCTGCACCTCGCTAACCGCTGATGCGGACCGATGAGGCGCGGTGAAGTGCAACGCCGAGGCCGGGTCTGCACACACAAGCACACCAGAAGTGAGGTGAGGCTGAAGGGCAAGCAAGAGCGGTGTGAGTGAGCAACAAGCCCGCTGCATCGAAGATTGCGCAGAGCCCAAGGGGGGCGCATGACAGGCCCTCTTGGCAAAGAGGAGCGAAAAATTGTGCGCCAGCGCGCCCCATCAGGCGAAAACTGCGGGTCGTTTGGCAACGCGCAGGGCTGCGCATGCAGCGCGTTCCTGTGTGTGGGGTGGTTCGTTCGCCGCAGTACGTGCACTGCTCATTTGAATGGCACGCGTGCATGCCAGCGCGCGTTTTGGGTGCAGCAAAGTGCAAAATTGTATGGTGGGGTGCACAGGGGGGCCAGTTCCAAACGCCAACTGCGGTTCACAATCACAGCACAAAAAGCTGTGTGTGTCAGAACAGACGTAATCCGTCCGCCTGCGAAACCGCCCGCTTGCCGCATCTTGTCAACTTGCCCCAGCCCAGCCGCAGCCCTGCGCTGCCACATGCAAGACCAATGGGCGACTGTAGCTATAACCAACACGATCAATACTGACAGGGCGCACCAAGGGGCTGGCTGTGCACTCGCGCATGGCGCGCGCCCACCGGCCAAGCCCGGCGTGCGCGCCCCTGATCAAAATCGACAGCTAATGGCTGCATAGAATGCAGGGGTGCATTTGTCCGTGCCTGTATAAACGGCCCAGGTCCACAGCTGCAGCATGGGTTCATGACATCATCCAGAGTGGTGAGTCGCCGCTCAAGATGGTGGCAGCAGAGGCTAACGCTCCTGAGCCAGGCCCTGCACTCAGGCGGAAAACAAAAGGCCGGGCCTCACCAGCAGCAAATTCGGGCTGCCACAACAAGGGTTGCTGTCACCGGTGCGGGCCCAGCGCGCGGGAGGATCGCCTCAGGCGTGCGCGCCGAGCGGCCGGCCCATGCCGGCGCTGGGGGGCTCGTACCACAGGATGCGGCCGACAGGGTAGAGGATCTGCAGGGGCTGCGCCCCCAGCGCCAGCACCGCGCCGTCGCCCTGCCCCGCGCGCAGCCACGCCTTGAGCGCCTCGGGCACGAGCGCCGAGCGCTCCACCTGCCGCAGCACCGCGC